CTCCTTCATATTTCATGTACACTAATAACTTGTGTACATGGTTCTTGTTGATGGCATTAAAATTATTTCTAATAGCATTAAATTACATTAAATTAGAGTCACTCATTCCTGTATGAACCCTGTGAACGCTTAATTTAATCTGACGCATTAGAAAAAAATCCCATCTTCATCCAGCATATGTTTCTGCCCAAATATATATATATATTTTTTTTGTTGTAGATTTTTGTAACAGGGATAACTAGGATAATTCAAAACTGGTTTTTTTGAATGAGCTATGTTTGTTCTCTACTCCCAAACTCAGCATCTCTTCATTCATTCCTGCAATAAGAAGTTTCTTTTGACTGGATTGGATTAAACTTTAAGTCCCTCGGTAGAAAATAAATATTTTGTTGGAGATGAGAAATCTGTTTCCTGGTTGGTGAATAACCAATAGTTTGCATCCAATCATTTAAATAAACTGTGTTTTTTTGGAATATATAAGAATTATGCTAGAATTTCTAGTTACAGATCTGTTGTTACTGTATTTTAATTAGTCAAACTGGATCTTCTCAATGTTCTTTTTCCTGTTTGTTGCAATTGCAATAGCGGATCTTGACCTGGCCGGACCGGAGCAGAGCAAAAAATAGCTCGGCTCCATATTTTGAAGGTGACGGACGGAGAAGACTTACGTGGACAGAGAGGTGCGGAGGAACAGGGGTGGATGTGGAACAGCCCTCATTGATTAAAATGAAAGACAGGTACTCCGCACGACGTACGTTAGCGGGGCGGAGCGGAGCGCTGACGGAGTATGTGGAATCTGGGGGTTATAATGCAGGGAAAAGTGTCTGAAATCTGCATAAGTCTGGATACAAAATGGTGCTGATTCAGAGATACACGATGTTGGCTCCCTAAAAGATGCCTCTTGCATATCGTTGATATTCTCCATACCTTTACACATATGGAAAAAACACAGTTTGTATCCAAGATTTGAACCCTTTTTGTTCAGTGTGAAGCACACAATAGTGCATAGTTTGACCATGTGATCAGCGCCAGTGGCAGGTGGGCACTTACTAAGTCCTTTGTTGTAAGGAAATTTTAGGTAGAACAGAAATGTCCCATGCAAAAGAAAGATGTTATCACAGGAATAATGGTTATGTTCAGATCTGGTGGCTCTGTTCTCCAAAGGACCAGGTCTAGCTGGGCTGGGTTCTTGAAAACTGTGGAAAGGAGGAGGCAGGAAGAGTTTGCCTATACTTATTTTTTTTGTGTGCCACTTTTCCACACCGGGGGTTTGGGGATGTCCTGGGTCTGCTCACTAGAGGGATTGGCCCTCAGTCCTGGGAGGATAACATGTGTATGAGGAGTGTAAGATTATGTTCAGTGTCTGCCCTCTCTACATCTCTGTTGAGTGCTTTTTGTATGGGTGTACAGGAGGGATTGTGTGACTGTGACTGCATGGAAGCTAGAGTTGGGAATTGATAAGATTTTCATGATTCTGATTCCCTTATCAATTATTTAAAATGATTTGATTCCTTATCAATTCTCTTATCGATTCTGTGAAACAATGAACTTGGTAAATGCACGGTGACATTCGTCTACCTTTGCCTGGGACATTCTATTTCTGTCTGCCTCGGCGAAAACAGAAGGCAGTGAACGGGAGCTCCCAGCCTCTCCGACTACCCACCTATCTCAGTCATCTAAATCTATTAGAGAGGGCATCCATTTATTCAAAAGCATTACTGTACGATTTCAGGAAATAAACTCTCTCCCCCTAATTTAAATAAACGAGCATCACTTTTTTCTCACTACTTGAACTGCGGAGCAACTTTGTAGCATGTTTAATAACCCCAAAGAGAGGAGGGAACTTGTTTTATTTCCAGAAATGGCTTCTGATTTACAAGGAACCACATTCAGCTCAGCCAGTGATATAAAACTAGCTACTAACCACCAGAGTTTCCTTCCATGCTGGTCATAACTTTAGCTTCTGTCCGGAAACATCAAAAACACGGCATTCGTTAAAATGTATGCCATGCTGTGTACACAGGTGTTTCTGCATCTTGGATGCATTTCCTCCCGCGGATGTTATTGCCACTTTACATCCCAAATTTCGATCACTTTACCCGATAGGACGCCATTTTTTTGTTTTGCTTTTCTAGTCTTATGCCTGGTCACGTCGTACTTGCTTACTGAATGCTGTGTGTGTAACTTACATAAAAGACGTGACGTAACTTACAAAGAAAACGTGTCGCAAGTCGTGCTGCCCAGCGCTAGGCTCTGGTGCTGCCTGGAAAGCGCTAAAAGAAACGTTAAGAGAGCTGCCAAACGGTGCCATGGAATTGGAATACACAGAACCAGTTCTAAACAGAAAGCGGTTTTCGGTTCCCATCCCTAATAGAACGTTTTCCATTTTTGCTGTTCTGTTTTGTTTTTGCTTTATTAGACTTATTGACAAGGTTCAACAAAAAAAAAAAAAAAATCCACTGTTCAGGTCCTATGGAAGGAATGCACCAGTATTCTGCTTTCAGGCTTGTCTATGGAGAAGAGAGGAAAATTAACAAAGTTGATGTTGAAGTTGTGTGGCAAATTGTTAGGAATCCAGTTTGTGTGGGTTGTGTTTTTCTCTCCCTCCACTACCAGTTGGTGCTCTGTTCTTGTTGGTCCTTTCACACACCTGCCGCTGGTTGACTCATCACTGAGGACTATTTAAGCGGTGGACTGTCACTACCTCGATGCCAGAGTGTTTGCCAGTCTTGGGTTCTCTTGCCAAGCTGAGATTAACTGAGTCTAACTGAGTCTTTGTTTCACTGATCCTAACTGTGTTTTTGTCTTTGACGTTCGGCAGGAAGCCATCCTGCAAGCTGGATGTTTTTAGCCTTCTTCCCCTGGATGGATTGTTTTGAGTCTCACACTGCACACTGGGATTAACCTTCACAAGTTCTGTTCAAGGCCTCCTGGATTTTCAAGTGACAGTCCGCTCCATAGCTCCTCAGGATCTAACCAAATCTAAACCTGTCCACCTCCAATGAGCACCTACCTCTGGATAGACCCACACCGACTGGATTCTGGGAAGAAAGTTTTCTCTACTAACGTGAGTCCCATTTTCTCGGTTTCTCCAAATCATTGTTCCCACGGACCCTGAACTAACCACTGAATCTTCCCTTCCACTTCCAGTTCCGGTTCATCTTAACTCAACATGATAAATACTTAATGAAATTTGTCCTCATAATTTCTAATTTTTCTTTAAGTTATCGTGACTCTGCCAGTTTCTGATGGTCCTACTCATTTTCATATCATACTTTCAACCATTTCACAGTTTAAATCTCTCACTTTTAGATACTTTTCTGCAGCTTTCACTGCACCACAATTGATCACTTCTACCATGAGAAGAACAAAATCTTTCTTTTTTTACAATCAATGAATCTTCAGTGTTGCCTTGTCATTCATCCACTGTTGGATTGGGTCTTTCTGACTGGGATGGAATTCTTTTTGCAGCATCAGTAAAGTTATTCCGAGCTCTAATTTCACTTTTCTGATCTCTTCAAATCTTTTGTTTACTTCACATTCGCGATATGCAGCAGTCTGTTCTCCACCACAGATACAGCATTTGATTATCCTGAGCTATCTCTATAGTTCTGCTGCTATAGGCTTAGACTGCTGGAGGACATAGGGACCCCTTTTCATCATTTTGCTTCATTCTCTCTCTGTTCTCCTATTCTGCAGAATCTGTTAGTTCAATCTCCAACGTTCTGCTCTCTCTGCTTTTCCTCAGAGTAGCTTTACCTCGTCTGTTCCTGTTCGGCTGTGACTCCATCCTGGAGAGAAACATCAGCTGTGCTGCTTCCATCAACACCCTTGTTTATAGATGCTGGAGATCGGCCTGTTTTCCAGTGTAGTCCTGTTTCTCTGACTGTGACTAACAGGATGTGCTCTCTTCATCCTCTGGCATGGGAGCTGCCTTGGAGCTCGTCTGCCTGGCTGTGTGTTTCCTGGATGGGGCCGCCTTTTACAGCAGCTGTTTGTGTCTCTGCTTCTTTTTCTATGTCTGCTTCTGTCTCCTTGAACCCCAGTGGGCCTCAGCAGATGGCCGCTCACACTGAGCCTGGTTCTGCTGGAGGTTTCTTCCTGTTCAGAGGGAGTTTTTCCTCTCCACTGTCGCTACAAGCATGCTTAGAGTGAGGGATTGCTGAAGAGTCAATGAGTCGATGCAATCAACTGGTTTCCTTAGATAGAAAACTTTGTATCAGTTTGACTGTATGATCTGGTTGAACTGTAAAGTGCCTTGAGATGACATGTGTTGTGAATTTGGCGCTATATAAATAAACTGAATTGAATCGAATTATAGCTTTTTTTTTTACCAGACTTTCCATGTTCCTGCTCTCCAGCACACCTTCCATCGTTGTTTTCCCTTACATACTGCTGCTATATGACCAAATTTTTGGCATTTAAAACAGGTCAGAGGCGGAGGATTGCACATTTTGACATTGTAGCTCATATAACCAGGGAAATTTTCTTCAAATTTCATCATTACTGATAAACTGTCACACCTTTCTCCATTTCTTGTTGTTTTTAACCGTTTTACCTCTTTTACTTTTTCCAGCACTTATATTTTCCAGAATCTCTTTATCGGGGACTTTTAAAGAAACTTCTCTAATGACTCCCCTGCTAATCCTTTTGTTCTCCACCAAGCTGCACTGAACTAGTTTCCCCTAAATCTGTTAATGCACATTGCTTTGCCTTGCTGAACGCTCTCTACAGTTGATTGACAGGTCTCCACTATGCAGGATTTTAGCACTTTGGACTTCTCCTGCAAGTTTATTTATCGATTTTGTTAACTGAACCGCATTCCGATCTGCAAAAGATTTACACTGATTAACTAGTTTTAATATGACTTTGTAAGCATTTAGTTTTTTCATGGAATTTTCTAGATTGTTCATCACTAGATTGTTCTGTAATGGATTCCCCTTCAATTGACCTTTTTTCAATTGACCTTTTTCTCATTTTTTTACTCTACTCATCTTCTTCATTTTCACTATTTCCTTCTTCCATCCTACAAGAATCGCTTCCTGTTTCCTCGCTACTCAGGAGCAAGGATACTTCTCCACAAGTGATTTAGGCTATGTTCTCACTGCAGGCCTTGATGCTCAATTCCGAATTTTTTTGTGAAATCCGATTTTTTTTGCGTTGCTGTTCACATTTCCAAATATATGTGACTTGTATGTGATCTCCTGTGTGAACTGCAGTAATACACCGCAAGTGTCCCGCATGCACAGTAGAGAATGCAATGACGTCACAGGCAAGCATGCTCTATGTTTACGGAAGTAAACATGGATGGTAGTACCCGCGCCCATCTAGTGGTCTTTTCCAACCATAAAAACTCAATCTTTTCAAGCTGGTTAAACATAAATACTGCTCTACGCTTCTGCGTAGCAGGACGCAGAATAGTGACCTTTGTCGGGTATTAATTGCATTCAGGTTGGATGACTCTGACCTGAACCAGATTCGTATCGGATTCAGGACCACATAGCCAAGTGGTCTGGATCGGATTGGAAAAAATCGGATCTGTGTTGTTCAGATAGCCATGAAAAGAACAGATCCAGGGGGCAAAAAAAAATTAGATTTGGGTCACTTCAGGCTGCAGTGTGAACGTAGCCTTAGAAACACATGCCGTGCACATCCAAATACGGAACTCTCCGGCAAAGAGTGATGATCCTGCAGCTCCTTTTAAACACCAGTCAGTTTGATGAGAAGATTGCCACAAGGTGTGTAGCAACCAGAGCTGACAGGACTCTCCAGCAGAGATCTCTTCTGGAAACAGGAAGACTCACTCTCACACAAAAAAACAAACACCAGTTCATAACCCATCTTTCTTTCTGACCTCCCTTTCCATCTCAGTGTCTGTTGTGTTAGATTTTACTCCCTAAATAAGATTTTATGACAACAGTCATACTGGTCTGCTTGTGAAAGCAAAGCTGTTGGGCTTTCAGCTAGCTCTGGGAATAGATTGCTGGAGTTAAAAAATAATAAAAATCATACTCTACACGAGCTAAACCCCTTGAAGGCCAACTAAATAGTCTAAATCTCTAAGCAGACATAGAGATCTAAACTATCTATGTTGTAAATCTCCGCCCACATTATCATCAGCAGATATAAAAAATAATAATAAAGTCACCTGAATACATTTTCCATCAAAACAGAACTGTTTATTGGTTTGACAAAGGTTTACATGTCATATTACAGTCAGCTCAACAAAGATGACGCTCTCAAATGGTGATCAAAAAATAAAGAAATCAAATAATATTATTTCATGATTACAATTGCAGAGCATGAAAAGCATATTTGCAGTAGTTATGATAACTATTAATCATATTATTTACAGATTAATACATCAAGAGATAATAAAAAAAATTAGAAACTTCCAAATTTCCTTTATGCTTTTAATTTTCTGGCAGCCAACTGATTTCTTTAAAAACTGCAGTTTCAACTTTTAATCTCAAATTATTTCACAGAAACATTTCTTCATGATGCATTTTGCAGCATTCTCCCTTGCCTCCCTTTCATACATGAACATAATCTTAGACTGTACCCTTTTAATTTCTCTTGCTGTTCCATGTGATCATTTTACATGGCCTCAGACTCACTGTTTCTTTCCGTTCTCTCTGCCTCTCCCTTTTCCATTTTATCCTTTATCAGCCCACTGATCTCTTTCGAGAGTTGCTCAGACATCGCCTGCATCCCTTTTTCAATAATTGATTTAATTTTTCTCTCCAATTCATCTGTCTCTTTAAGTATTTTCTCTTCTTTTTCCTTCTGGATACTTTTTTTCTCCACTTCAGTTGCTTTCTCAGCCTCTTCGAACATTTTATTGGTGTAGTAACTTCCTCCATTCCTTTCAACAATTTTCATAATCTTCTGGAGCAGTTCAGTGACCTGAGCTTTATTATCTTTTAGCTTATTGTTGAAAACATGATATTGGTCATTACATCTGGACACTAGCTCCTGTAATTCTTGACTTTTAGAGATAAAATCCTCAATGGTGCCTTTAAGCTTGTCTCCGTGGGTAAAGAGAACCATGCTGTATCTGTCTACAGCCTTTCCAAAGATTTCTTGGATCATTTGCACCGCTTGTTTTTCCTCTTTTGTGAATCTGCCCAATTTAACAACCACCAGAAAGATATGTGGTCCAGGGGCAGCGAAAGAGACGCACTGACCCATGAATTTAGCTTCTTGGTCTTTGTTAGACCTGGTGTCAAACAGATCTGGAGTATCAATGACAGCAACCCCTCGTCCATCTATATTACTGTCACAAACAGAGCAGTTGATAGTGCTTGATTCTGGGCTGCAGTCTGTCTTAAAGCACTCTCGACCCAGGATGGTGTTTCCAGAACTACTTTTCCCAGTTCCAGTCTTCCCCACCAACACAATCCTGAGGTCATCATTTTTTGTAAAGTTTGATCCTGTGAGGAAGGATTCAATTTGAATTAATATCATTGTTCAGAATAATATAGAACTTGAGCTTCTGTTTTTCAAAAGAAGAAGTTATAAAGTTTTGATATAAATGACATTTAGGGAGTAATTGTAAGTAACTGGGATAGCTGTACATACATTTAAAATCAGATATCTATGTTACAGTACTGCATCTTAAAGTTACTCTATTGCAGCTTTTAAGAAGTTGAATTTCACAACCTTGTTTTAGAGGAGCTTTTTAAATAAGTTCAGTTTCAGATGCTGATCTAGGTCTACACTTCCGTAGAATTGACCAAAGTCACATTTTAAACATTTCGATTGGTATTAAACCTCTTGGTCTACCCTCCACAAGCTTCTTGCAATAGTTACGGCCTACTTTTCCTACCATAACACAAACATTATATTAAAAATGCCTTTAATCGATTCCAAGTACTGATGAAAGTAAAATTTAAGCTTTATCAACAATATTCAAAATGGTTTTTTTAGAAAAAAATGTAGTCTTTGGCTGTGTTATGTTATATTTGACTGTTGGAACAAATGCATCCCCACACCCTAACTTTGAGTGTCCCTTTGTTTTATGCATGTCACTGCTGCAGTCTGAGGGCCTTTCAGCAGTCGCGTGGAATTACACAATAGCAAACTTTCAATCTAATTAACTTTTTTTTCTGATTTATGTCTAGTTGGACAGAATTGCCAAAAGTCTATCAAAGCAAATTATTTACACATTTAAAGAAAGTTACATGTTCTTTGCAACTTTTCTTTTCCTATCTCATTTCAGACAGACTGTTTGCAGTCATGTCTGGGAAAAATTATTAAATGAAAAAATAAAGGATAACCAGCTGTATTATGTCAAAAATAAATTACTAAGTTAAATAAATGTGAAATGATTTGGGTGAGAGTTTAGCATTTATTTAAAAACAGTTATATAAGATAATGTGAAAATACTCCCAACTATATCTCAGAAACAAAAATGATGGCAATAAAGCCTGAGGTAAATCCATAATAAAATTAAAGAAGGCTACCAGTGGAAGATTATTTGTTAAGAAGTTTTTGGTTGAAGCATATGAAGCATGAGAATAGAATGAATGTGTAGTTATCCAAAGCTTACCAGAGCTGTTGGCCTCATTTGGTCTTCCCTGTTGCTCGTCCATGATCAGTCGGATAGAGCAATGAACACACTCTAGCTGCAATAAAGTACTTGCCTTTTATAGAGTCCGTCGCCTTATGAAAGTAAAACTGAAGCTCTTATTCACCTTTGCTACTGTTACGTTTTTCTGCCTGACTGGATGGCACACCAATGGCTGCACAGTGGCACAGCTTGTAGCAATGTTATGCTGCAGCAAGAAGGTCCTGTCCTCAATTATGGGCCCAGGGTCTTTCTGCATGAAATTTGTATGCTCTCCCATGCATACTTCAGTTCTCTCCAGGTACTCCAGATTACTTTCACAATCCACTGTTAGGTTAATTTGCAACTAAGTTGCCCTTATGTGTATGCGATGTATGGTTGGGTACACCATTGCCCAGGGTGAGGCATATTATTATAAAATAGGAGAACTAAATGACTTCAAAAGATACTGCAAAGACTTCATTTGCATTGCATCTTGATTTTTATAAGCAACTAGTGAAGTAATTGAGAGTTGACCATGAAGTGCCTCAAATAAACCTTAGGTTAAATAATGGTCATCTACATCAGTGTTTTTAACAATAGACATACATATAATACATATAAGCGTAGAACCTGCATTAGAGGGTCGTGGTGCAGAAATTACAGGACCACCTTGGGGAGGTTGACCTGCTACCCTAACTTGCTGGTTCAAGCAGAAATGAAGAAGGATGCCTCAGCATTGTGCGGCGTATTTTTGTTTGAATCGACAGACTGTTGGCATCAGTGCTCAAGGGATAACTTTTTGAAGGCATCAGAGCCTCTCCAAACTCCCCAAGTTTGGGGTTCACTGCCCTATTGCTCCAATGAAGACGGGCATGGCTGATGCTTGACCTTCCAGGTTTTCTCCAGCTCTTCTCTGAGCCCCTGGTATTTCTCTAGTTTCTCATGTTCCTTCTTTCTGTATTGCAGTCGCTTGCGTTTTGTCCACCACCACAATGTCTGGTTGGTTCGCCATTACCATTCTGTCTGTCTGCATTTGGAAGTCCTACAGGATCTTGGGACGGTCATTTTCTGCCACCGTTAGGAATATTCTTTACTTTGACAGGATCTTTCTGTCAGCATCTTTCACCCTGCAGTTACGTGCTTGATTGTCTCAGGGGCCTCTTTGGACTGCATCTGGGGTACGTCTGGTGTGGTAGATCTGGGCCTCTGTTGCTCTGGTCCTCATGGTCTGCTCCTGTGCAGCCTCTGTGCTTTTCTTCAGGCAAGCCCTTTCTAGTCTTTGGTAGGATTTCCTGATATTCGCCACTTCAGTTATGTTTTGGTGGTACATCCCGTGTAGGGGCTTATCCTCCGATGACAGAACCTCCATCACCTCATCTTCTGTTCCCCATTGTCTGAGACATTCACTGAGCACGTTGTCTGTTGGAGTCTTGTCCTTGATGTATTTATGGATCTTGGTTGTTCCATCCTGGGTAGTGGCTCTTAAACTTGCTAGTCCACTGCATCCTTTCTTACGGCTAGCATATAGTTTATATATATGAACCGGTTATTTGCCCTGCTGACGACCAGCTGCTTGCTGTATTTGTATTAATAAAGCTTGTTTGAAAATAATCCTGATCTGTCTGCTTTGAATATTGGATGCAAGGTTCTGAGGTCATTACAAAATAATCTGTATTAATTTTATGGATCCATCAGCAGACAGATCTTGAACCGAGAGTGTCGATCTGAAGTTTTCTCAGCTTGAATGCAGAGTCAATGAGATCCTCACTTATCTGCCTAGCAGTAGAAAGCCCAGAGATATGACAATTTTCTTCAGTCTCCAGTCCCCCCAAAAGTACTTCACAACTCATGAATCCCCTTTCAGATGTAAATGTCCCATTAGCGTTGTCTTTATAGAATCGTTCCATCACCTTGAGTTTTAGTTTTAGCTCAAGCCTCTCTGTTGGAGAGGGTTTTACCTGACAGGAGGGGCGGGGGAATCACGTTTGTAATGTAACAAGGTCTAACTCATCAGTGTCGTAAACACCGCAATGATTTCAGACATTGGTGCCACTTTTGCAGCGATCAGACCATAACTGAGCTGTACAATGAAAATAGCTGCATGAGCTGGAACGCTGTAGAGAGGGAATATTTATACAATAATAAACATCTGCCCTATGTACTAGGGGCCAAATATAACTCCAGCGATCTCTCCACCACTGCAGCCGAGACAGCGTTTTTAGACTGCAGTAACGTTTGCAATATATTCACAGATTCTGCTTTTCCGGATTAATAACTCATCGGCAGATGATTTATTCTACAGAACAGACACCTCTCCACAACCAAAGCAAGGCAGACAGTGAGCTCCAAATGTAGTTTCCTCAAAATGAGTCTCCTATCGCATTGGGAGAATAACATTGGGCCCTATGCAGAGCTCACTGCATCGCAAATGCTTAGGGACCATCTGCAAGTTACAAAATAATCAGAGAGAAATATTCAAAAGCGTCATCAAGGAGAGGTGGATAATTATCAAATTCATTTCATGTGGATATCATTTCATGTCATTCATTTCACATTTGTTGGATTCGAAAATAATACTTTTTGAGGAATTTCCCAAAGCCTAAATGACAAATTGCACCTCTATTTTATTATTAGAATAAGTATAAAATGAGCAATGACTACACTCCATAGATAGAATCCATAGATAACCTCATATAGTTCAGACTACAACTCTTACTTTGGGAAGATAGGAACCACAGCACTGAACATTGTGTGCACTGCACAAAGTATACCTGTCAAAAATGCAGTAAGGACTCACCTTTGTTTGTGAAAACTGCTAAATGGGACAATTGTAGTTTTATTCAATTCAGTTCATTTATATAGCGCCAAATTCACAACACATGTCATCT